ACCAACACAGAGAAAGTTAAAGGGACAGAATCAAGAGAAGTGACAGCAGTAGGTGCTGGGTGGAAAGTGAGTGAAAGCCACATAGGTGAGGAAGCAGCAGCATGAGATGGGAGGAGGAGGGGAAGAGGGGTGAGAGTGGAGCAGAGAGAGGGAGGGAGGGAAAAGAGGGGAGGGGATAAAAACTATATCCTCTATTAGAACAGCTCCCAGGGACACGGGTGGGTCACACAGCTGGGAATTTGCTGTGGTCTCTGGATCCTGCCTCTTCCCCCTTTGCTGGTTCATTGCTGGGGTAGCTTCCTTTAGGCAGGCTCTTTTGTCCTCCAGTTGATTTTTCCTCTAGATGCCCTTAGCAGGTCCACTTAAAGGGGCTGCTCTATCCCTGCTTTCCAGACCTGACTCATCAGTCTACCCATCCATCCATCCACCCACCCCCCCATGCATCCATCCATCCATCCATCCACCTACCCCCCCATGCATCCATCCAACCATACATCCATACATCCATCCGCCCATCCATCCAACCATGCATCCATCCATGCATGCAAAAAAAAACTTAAGAGTGACTTAAGAGTTGATTAGTTCAGTTCACAGTAATTATTACATGATACAAAATTTACATTTTCAGTTTTATTTTAAACACTTCACATTAAATGAAATTTAACTATAACCATTACAGAGCATTATCCATAATATGCACAAAGAACTCTTAAAATAAAAAATGATACAATCTTCAACAAGTTAAATGCCACTTTACTATGTAAACAAAAATAAAACAAAACCCTGATGCTAAAAGGTATCTATTCAGAGGTAAAATACATATACAAAAACATTTAAACATGAACCTTACTGACAACCAACCACACTCTTTGCAACAGAGGATACCCACTGGTACTTCACAACTACAATGCTTCAGAATCCTGTTAAACTCACAGCTATCACTGGTTCATGACACGGCACAATTCATAAGGCAAAGATATAGGCATTATCATCCAGTTCTTTAATTTCACATGTATATTAAGGCAAACTTGGGACTTTTTGCTTGGTATTTTGAAATAAGTGGGACTTTACTTTATCATAACTTAACAAAATTAAAGGTAGAAGACATGTGGATATGTAATCTGAAAGACATGGGTGACAATTTTTCTCTCTGCAGAGATGTAAACTGGATTTTTATTTGACCATATTCACACTAGTAAGATCTGTAAACTTTTTCTATTTAAAATGTATTAAACTTATTTCCCAAATGTGAATATCAACACTGAATTCAGTACACTGGAAGTGTAGTGCCAATACCCGTAGCCACGGAATCATTATCTAATTAAATCTTCTCTAATTAAAGTGCTGTACATAGTGGGAAAGAAAGGGTTAAGTAGCAGAACAGGATGTTAACTTGACATGTCACATAGCTGTGTAACTTTCTGAATAGAAAGTTTAGAGAGGTTATCATAAATTCATTAAACTTTAAGCAGTAACTTTATTGTAGAATCTGATTTTCCTAAAAATGAGCACTTTGGTGACAATACCAGGAATCCAACACTACAACTGAGAACAAAATAAAAAGTAAACAACACAATCCAGCATGATATATACATGTATTTTCCTCAATGTTAGCCAGAGCCATGTTTTAGAAACTGGGTTTGGTGTGTTCTTTCCTAGTTTTATTTTTCCTTTAGGAAATATACTACCTAATTCCAAGAAACATGGAAAAGATTTTTAAAAATGTTTTTTGTGTATTTGTGTGTGTGTGTGTGGGTACCCAGGGAGGCCAGAAAAGGGCATCAGATCCCCTGGAGCTGGAGCTGTGGGACAGTTGTGTGCCTCTCTGAGTGCTGGAAACCAATCTCGGGTCCTCTGTAAGAGCAGCAGTTAGTTTTAATTGATGAGCCATCTTTCCAGACCTCACCTGGATTCTATAAAACTACAATTTTGACAAATCTTGCTTGTGTCATTAAAACCTAACTGGACACTAAGTATTTGTTTATATATAAACTAAGCTTCAAGTCACTTCCTATGATTTGGAAATAAGGAATAGGTTATAGATTTTCATAATCATTATTGGAGTAAATGAACTCTATTATAGTTTACTCTTTTGGGTGAAGAATGTATCCTACTTACGTTTCAGTAGATGCTACCACAGCATCAAATATGGTGTTTCACACATATATAGTAGATCCCCCATATATGTTGAACTATAAAAACCTTTCAAAACCAAATTCCATTTTCCTATCACTTGGTACTACATCCTATAATTTGATATTCATTCATATTTAAAACAATATTAGCAATAACATGAAATTTGCAAAAATTCTTTGGGTTTACTTTTTTAAAAATCAATTAAGTTCTATTACTACATACAATAAATATTAAATAGCCAAACATTGCATATACATTTTTTCACATAATTATAGAAGACAAGTGACATTACAATTGATTAGATTTCTATTTCCCTGTCACTCTTTTCCAAAATATTTCTGGGCAGTCTTAAATTGCTTTCAAGTTCTTGACTGAATATATATACAATATATCCAATATATATTGAATGCATAGAAATATGTACGTACATGTATACATACATACATACATACTTCTAAAAACATAAACCCAGGGAGTTTTACTCCAACATTTTACCCTTTTTTATTTTTGCATAGGAAACATGGAGCTTTACATTCACAACTTACCAGCACAGCATTCATATAAAACTTCTCAAATCTGAAAAGAAATCTCTGTTGTAAACTTACCAGGTGTCAGGACACATAATAGCTCTGGTTACTATGAACAATATAACAGAATTTCTAAAATACAGTGTATTTCTAAATTCTGAGTGCTAATTTTCTTCTGCTTTGTATGTTTTTATAGCTTTGTTCACAGGAACATGATCCTACTATTTTGCATTTAGTTTTTAAGCAAAATAAAACTTAAAATAAAAAAAAAGTACATACTTTTGATCTAACTTAGCAAATGGCTATGTATTTTATATGAATTATATACTGGAAACAATATATGAGTAAAGCACTGTTGAAATAGAATGTTCAGAAAAGATCTGTTTGTATCTAAAATAACTTCCAAGTCTTTCAAATTTACTTCACTTCTGTGAGGAATGGATTAAAAGTAGCACAACAGAATACATTTAATAATTTGACTGATACAAACAAAACATCTAAGCTGGGGATTTAAAAGTGAGTATGTGCAGGAATCTACTTTAAAATATTTTTCTTTAAATAAGGTTTAGGCCAACCACAATAGTGCACCTTATTACTATTCGACAGATTTATTCAAATCAATGAAAAAGTTATTGCTATGTGTCATAATGATATTCAAATAAGCGACATAAAAAATACTTAGTTGATTTTATTAGCTCCTGTTGAGTTCTAGGTTAAAAGAGACTAAAAATTACTTGCAAGGCTTCATAGTTTGTGCAAATATTTGTAGAGCATGGTGTTACTTTATGACTAAAGATGATTTTACATAGTTTTATAGTATATCCTCAAATCTACAATGGGTAGTTTATGGAAGAACAAGGGAAACTACAAATTGTCCGGCTATAGTTTTTGAGCAACAACATATACGCTAACAGGTAAAGCTAGGTTTTATAATTACAAATGGCTTCTTAATGATAGAGTAGTATGGCACTTAAGAATGTAGGATGAGTTCTTTTCTTAGGAAAAAATATTCACTGGTCTAATAGAAGTTATAAAGAGAGACAGAGTAGGTAGGGTAAAAAAAAAAGAAAAAATAAATAAAAGAAATGAAAAAAAATTACTAAATATGAAAATGCAAGTACCAACATAGTAATAAAATGCAAGTTAATGGTTTAAGACTAATAGATATTTATTAAACCATGCTAAAATAAGTTAACTATATTTTTTTAAAATAAGCTCTTAGTGGCTGTAACAGTTTTGTTTTGAAAGATAGTTTCTTTAATCAAAGCAGAACCAAATTTAGAACCATTATTCAAGTAAACATCGAGTTCCAGTTTTTCTCCATAAGATAAAAATACTCAGTTACCTAAGAAATGAACAAAGTAACACACACCTGCCTAGCATGTTGTGTTTGGTGCATGTATTTCTGTGCTGAAGAACGTGAAATTTCTAGAATAAGAAGAAAATAATAACAATTAAAAAAAAAAAGCATCACTCTTTAAGTCACCATTCAAAAACCATGGGAAGTATAACTCAAGCCATTCAGATGATTATGGATGTTAACATTAATGTGATCACTAACATTTCCCACAAACACTAATGAAATCAAGCCAGTAAAAATGAAAGATTATCATAGTACATCATGCATCTCACATTGAATACCCAAATAACATTGGTTATAGCTTTGTTATACATCCTACAGTTAGCACCATTTTAATATTTGAACACTGAAAACAAAATTAGGACCTTAAAAAACAAAAATTAAGAATATAAGAAAAAAGCAATATGCATCAAGGGTGGTACCAAACACCTTCCAAATATATTTACACTAACCATCAGAAGCCTGCTGTGTAACACTGAGGAACAACTGAAACTGACGAGATTAGTTTTCTATCCATGCTTACCACAGCACAGATGAGGTCATCCAGCCCATGTAGGAAAAGCATAAACAACACATGTCATATCTTAAAACAGAGCCCCAAATACGATAATAAAAGCCATTATTTTACAACCTCATCACACTATTAGCCCTAAAATCATTTAGCAGAAAGAGCCCTCAGGTTATTTATAGTCCTCGAAAGTACCCAAAGTAAAAGCAGCCCTTTTTAAAGAAACATGACACTTTTGAATTTGTAACCAGCAATCACTATCCACATTCTGTCCAGTCATTTGATGCACTCCACATCAGAAGCTTCTCTCATCCTACTAAATCATGATATAGATCAAGAAAGAAGAGCTTAAATTATTGAAAACAAAATTAAAAAGCAGCAAGGTTTTCTCTACATTTAGGAATATAAAAACTAGTCTATCCCAGTCTTAGTGGAGAAAAGTGCACAATTCAATTGGTTAGATCTTCCCTTTTTTTTTTTCCTTCCTTTTTTTTTTAATTATTGATTCACTGTATAATCAAGAGCGATTCAAACTATTTGTCAGTTCAGAGTACCCAACAAGACCTTGAGTCTTCATGCCACTTCAAGTTAACAAAGCAGTACAGCTTTCAGGTTCAAGACACCGGGCATTCTTTCCTGTGGCACCACCATGTGCGATTTCCATGAGTTCGCACTTGTCAAAGTGCAGTTAATCCAAAATTGCAGCGACAGTATATCATGCCAGCTGAGTCCAGCCATGTATCTGAGATAGGGTCGTATTTCTGTACAGTGTTCAGATAGGAAGACCCTGAGTGACCACCGACTACATAAAGGTAGTTATCAACTACTGCAGCACCAACTCCTAAGACAGGTGGGGAGAAGAACAAACAGGTTAGTGATGCAGTAGACTGTGTCTCACTGAGAATAAAATAATTTATAGCTTAATGCATTTTCAAAATGCATTTCAACAACCTACTATAATTGTACAAGCAATATAGCAATACAGGCTTACTAGAGAAAACGAAAACAAAATAAAGCAAAAACCTCTTAGCAAAGCAGTCAGTTGCTGTCCCCTCTGCTTCTTACTCTACTCTCCCTCCCTCCCTACTACAGGACTACTTTCAAAATATGCTTTTAGTTTTGACACAGTAATTGGACTTGGTCACAGGGTACAGTGCGACATTTCAATGCATGCATAGAAAGTACAATGATCAGATCAAGGTAACTGACATACTTTTTGTTTTTGTTTTGTGTTTTTGAGGCAGGGTTTCTCTGTGTAATTCTGTCTGTCCTGGAATTCACTCTGTAGTCCAGGCTGGCCTCGAACTCACAGAGATCTGCTTGCCTCTACCTCCCAAGTGCTGGCATGCATTCTTAAAGTACTAGAAAGAAAGTATATTTATAATGATATTTGCCTGTCTTTCTATAAATTTGATCATGTTTTCAAATACATCACACTATGTAACTTATGTCTTAAAAATCCTCTCTTAAATATTACTACCTGTAGTTCAAAAATAGTAAGTCTACTCACATTTAAAACATTCTCATTGTTTTTATGGGTTTCCCTATTGAGTGTGCCCAGGAAACTAGTATAGTTAGATGGTTCATTGTATTTTGTGCTTTGAATTTCTCTTGAGTTCTTATGATTCTGGAGTTTTTTCAATCATAAAAATAAGAAAACTTGCCAGGTGGTAGTGGCATATAGATTTAATCTCAGCACTTGGGAAGCAGAGGCAGGCAGATTTCTGAGTTCGAGGCCAGCTTGGTCTACAGAGAGAGAGTTCAGGACAGCTAGGGCTACACAGAGTAACCCTGTCTCAAAAAACCAATAAACATAAAATAATAATAAAATTTCTAAAGCATTTTCATCATTTAAAATTGCTCTTTAAATAATGTCATTTGATTTTTGTTCAAAAATAACAATTTCTCCTTATACCTAAGGATGTATTTTTTTTTTTCTAGAAACCCTAAAATCCAATCCTTTCTTGACTGAAATATTCTACTTGCAGAGGAAAGATTAAAAGACTATAGATAATGAACATCAGCTGGGAGAAGGGGACAGGAGAGATGGCACAGTAGAGACACACAGTACTTTTGGACATCTTAAGAATCTGAATAAACGCTGGATGGGTACAAGACAGATGGCTAGAGTAAGACATTGCAAAGCCCTGGTGCACAGGATCCACCACAGCCCTGTGATCTGTCTATTGTGACCAGAGAAAGCACTGGCTTGGCTAATTTGGACATTCCCAGAGGACCAGAGCATGCTGTGGAAATTTCCCATGCTGAACAATCCACACAGGCAGAGTGCCTCTGATAGGAGGGATCACCCATCTAGGGTGCATCCTAGACTCATCTGGTGCAGTTCAGAGGGTAGAGTCAGCACTTCCATGTGAACAGGCTTACACACCACATACACTCTGACAGGACTCAGACTGCAAACAGTGCTTTGTAGTCTAAACTGTAGGGGCTTTATAGAGAAAAACTGATTTGCACACCAAATCTAGGAAACAACAAATGTGTGTCTGTGTTGTATGTGTGTAGTGTGTGTATGTATATGTGTGTGTGTCATGTGCATGTTTGGTTTGTGTGTGGTGTATGCATGCATGCATGTATGATATATGAATGTATATGTGATATATGTAGTATGCAGTATATGTGTGGTATATTGTGATGCATGAATGGTATATAAGGTTTGTGTGTAGTATGTATAGTGTATGTAGTGTATGTGTGTATGGTATGTACTGTGTGTGTGGTGTATGTGTGTATGGTATGTACTGTGTGTGTGTGTGTGTGTGTGTTTGTGTGTGTGGTGTGTATGTGTACTTTTATGAAGAAAGAGATACTGACAATTTTCCTCTTTCCCTCCCTCGCTTTCTTCTCTATGTCTCTTTTTCTCCTTCCTCTCTCTCTCTCTCTCTCTTTTTTTTCTGGATGGCATGTCTCTATTTACTTTGCATTCTCCCTATTATTTTTGTGTATGTGTATGTTATATGCATATGTATAGGAAAAGGTGAGACCAGACAGACATACCAAAGCAAAAACAAAAACCCACCAGTAACAACCAAACTCTAGATACCTAGGCCCCATAAAACGCATGAACAATGAAGACATTATGTCTCTATAAATTAGCACCCCAAATTGTGATGCTGCTTAAAAAAAAAAGAAACTTAGTTGGTACACAAGACAAGGTTTTCAAAGCAGACATGATTAATATGTTTAAGGAAGCCAAAAGGAAAGAAGAAAATCATAATAAAGCATAAAAAATACCTCCAGTAAAACAAATCACAGAAGAAAATTCCCCCAACTTATGACAAAAATGCCTATCCAGGAGCAAGAGACCTGCGGAACACCAAGTGGACAAGAGCAGAGAATAAGTTCTCCATGACAGATAGTCCTAGAAGGAATACTTCAGCCTGAGGATAGGGTAAGCACACTCAAGAGATCATAGGAATAAATAACACCGGGACATAAAGTCAAAAGAGATCTGAGAACACAAAGCAAAACTACCAAAGTGACAGGAATTAATACACATCTCTTAATAATAACTCTAAATATTAATGGTCTCGATTCCCAAATAAAATATATGGTTTGGCAAAACAAAACAAAAAATACATGTAGGTCAACGGGATAGAAATAAATCACCACAACTATAGCCAACATGACAAAGGAGCCAAAAACATACATTGGGAAAAAAAAGTTTCTTTAACAAAGGTGCTGGGACAATTAGATATCTGCATGTGAAAGAATAATACTAGATGCTAGTCTCTCAACCTGTACAAAAATCTATTCAAAATAGATCAAAATCTTTAATGTATTACCTGAAATTTTGAAGCTTAAAGAAGTAAATGAATAGAAAATGGCTCAGGTCAGAGAGGCATTAAATAACAACTCTCTGATTAAGATGGCAGCAGCTCAGCAAACAATAAATGATAAATAAGATTGTACAGCAAAGGGAACCACTACCAGTGAAATAGCAGCCTACAAAATGGAAGACAAGCTAGGCTAGACATGTAGCTAGTAAGGAACCAATATTAAGAATATATAAGTGACTCCAACAAAAATCCAAATAAATGAATAAACAAACTAGAGAACTCTCAAAAGTACAAATCCTAAGCACATGAAAAAATGTTCAACAGTACTCAGTTATCAAAGTACTGCAGATCACAAGTGTCTTGAAATTCCACTGTACCCCAGTGAGAATGGCTAGTATTCAAGGAAACAACATGTACTAGACAGGATATATGGAAAACGAACTGGTAGACCATTGGCAAAAGTGTAAACCATTCCCTCCATGACTGAAAACTGTATGGAATTCCCCACAACGCCCAAAACAGAACTACTACAGCATCCACCATCCCACCTCTTGGTATACACCCAAAGGGAAGACAGTCAGCGTGTAATAAAAATACCTGTAAACTCAAGCTTATCGTGGGAGGCAGACAGACTCAGGAGAAATGACAGGAAGATTACAGGACAGTATGTGGCGCAGCAACTTGAAATTAAGTGACCCTCCCTCAAAACAAGGGAGCATAGAACCAACCCCTTTAAAATTTTTCTCTACCTCCACATACATGTACCACATCATGTACCTGCTGCTCTCTCTTGCTCTCTTTGTGTATCTGTCTTTGTATAAATCTGTCTGTCTGTCTCTCTCTCTTACAATTTTTTTTCTGATAAAATAATATGCTAGTATTATAAGAATATAACTATATGAAGCACAGCTCTGTATGCTAAGTTTAATGAGTTAACAGCTCAAGATATAGTTCAATCCCCAGTACCACAAAACAAATAAACAAACAAAAGAAAAATAAATAAATATTACCTGTCCTGGGCTCTTTCATTGGTCTACACACCGTCCACTGGTTTTGATGAGGGTCATATCTTTCAATGCTTGACAAATGCGAGACACCATTATGCCCGCCTACCACAAAAATAAAGCCTAGCATAACTCCAACGCCAAAGTGAATCCTTTTATCAGCCATGGATGCAACCATCTCCCAGGAATCTTTACTTGGATCGTAACGCTCCACACTGCAAGTATTTACATGAGGAAGAATTAATTCCTAAGTCATTTTGTCAATCTTTCTGCCAAAGCAAAACTAAAACTAAGCAAATAGACAAAAATAACAGTAATTTGTTCTAAACATTTAGGCATCTGTAGACAAGATTTCTGGTATAAAAGTTTACTTTGTGGACAGGAAACAACAATAACTGCATATTACTCTTGTATATGGTTAGATAAGATATCCATGAGGGACTGGATGAAGGACCAATTTAATGGATGCTCCCATCATTCATACAGAGTGGTGATATAGACTATATAAGCACAAAACTTTTTCATTAGATTGCTCACAGTGAGTGAAACACCACTCCAAGAAATAAAATTTCTAAAGAAATAAAAATTTTAACAATGGTTTAGAACTATGATTTGCAGTATATACAACCAGTATCCTGTAAACTTTACTTTTTCTTACCTGTATTTCTCCTTTATTCCAAGGATAAACTACAGAATACAAAAATCTCTCATTCTCACTCTAGGAGTGTGATGACATGTCTAGTATGACCATAGCATCCAAAAAAAGATTTTAATTTTAAAAGCTGCTTCTTTAAAAAATTATTATACATACATAAATATGGTATGACTATACCACAAAAAAGTGAAGCAATTGAGAAGTAGCTCTTTCCATCCATCATGGACTGAACTCAGTTTGCCGGGCTGGTGCAGCAAGCACATTTACCCACTGAGCAATCTTAATGGTCCAAGATTTGAATTTTATGTTTTATAATGTACTGGAATACATGAGTTGCACTTCTACTTTATTCTATTAAGTAATACAAGAAAAGATCAGGCTCACACATATAGATGCATACATAGCTGCATCATAAAAAAAAATCTAAATTTGTCTCATTTGTATTTTATGTAGTTCACTATATTAGTTGAATATAAAATTTAATAGGAGAGATTTGAATCTCAGTGATAAAAAATAACTACACTTAGGACAATCTAAATTCCCAAATGCATGCCAATATTACTCAAGCATTACAAAGGCCATTTATATATGCAAATTATTTAAAATTCAAAACTGACTGTAAACTGTGCTTCGGTAAAAACCCACAAACACAAGCAGTTTAATTATCATGTTAAATACCTGTTCATGTGAGCAGGGCCATACCCTCCAATGGCATAAATCATTCCATCCAGAACAGCTGCAGCAAAACAACTTCTTGTGGTGGTCATTGGGGCCACAGGTTGCCATTGTCTGATTTTGGGGATATATTTCTCTACAGATTGCAAGTAAGACTGTCCATCATATCCACCTAAAGCATAAAGTTCTCCGGCAAGCACTACTACTCCAAGGGTACTCCGACTCTCATTCATTCTCTCTAGCGAAGTCCATGTATTTGTATCAGGATTCCAACACTCCACTGAATTTTCATGTTTTCTGACAGTGACACCAGGACGCACGCTAGTTTCAATACCACCTATAACATAGACTTTTTGGTCTAAAACACAGATTCCAAATTCGTATCGAGGAATATTTAGGGGCGCCAGACCAATCCAAGAATCATTCTGAGGAAAGTACATCTCCACACTAATGAATAAGCAGAAAAAAAAAAATAGATTAAAAAAACTCAAATGACTCATTAACAAGGATGTTTACTTGCATTAATAATCAAGATCATGCAAATCAAAACTATAATAAATCATTATGTACCTTCCAGATTGCTGAAAGTACAGCCAGAAAATAACCACTGGCAAGCATGTTGAGCAAACATGAACATGCTGGCTAAGACTGTAAACTGGTACAAACTACCCAGGAAAACAATTTTATCTATACAGACCTTCATTTAGAATTTCATACTTAATGTGTCTCCTCTGTTGAATATCTACTATATCCTATCAGTTTGTTTTCTGCCATAACAGAAAATTATTGATTGCATATTTTATAAACAATGGAAGTTCATTTGGCTCACAGTACTTAATGCTGAGAAGTACTCATGGTACCTAAGGAGGCCCAAGATCAAGGACCTGTTTCTGACAAGGGTATTTTACTACATCATAACACAGAAACTATGGGCAACACACAAAAGAGGGACCAAAGGAGCCAACACCTCTCTTGTAGAACAAGTCCACTTCCATGATAATGGTCTTAATTCACTCGTGAAAGCAGCATGCCCAGGCTTCTTGAAGGTTTCACCTTTCAGGGAACGTTGCATGGAGGGTTTAGTTTCAACATATACATTTTGGGAATACATTCAAACTGAAAAGGAGTACATGTGCTGAGATAAGTTGGCATGAAAGGACCTGGTCAGAGACCTGCGTGGTTTTCAGCCTGCTCCCCTCTTTATTTTGGCATCTTCTTTCAAATATACTCAGATGTTTCTATTATGGGATAAAATATAACAAAACCAAACCTTTCCAACCATCTGCTGCTGTCTTCACTTTCACCATTTTCATTCATTCTCAACATGGTACAATGTATCTACAACATTCCTACAATTCTGCCAACATGAAAGTCATGAATGGTCTTTATACTACCACATATAACAGCTACATTCTTTATCTTTCTGAACCTTTTGTTCACACTTTAATTTGTTGAACATATTCCTTCTTTCTTGACAAACTTAAATTCCTTGGGGTCCATGACATTATTTACTATTGGTTTCCTATCTCTGACATTCACTAATCAATCAATCAATCAATCAATCAATCAATCAATCAATCAATCATTTTTCCTTTCTATATGTCCTTACTGGGCAAAAAAAAAAAAGGGGGGGGGATATTTATGTTGGTAACAGAGTTCATCAAAGACATCATAGTTTAATTTTACTTTTCAATTATGCTGTGAGACCACAGATACATGCATTCATAATCAATAAGCAGTAGAATACTGCTTACTTGGATATTTAATAGGTACTTAATCTCCACATATCTGAAACTTGAACACACTATTCCCTTAATGTGGCTCCCTGTCTTGTATTTCTCCTTCTTGGTAGTAACCCTTCAATCCATTATTACAAAATCTCATCCATGTTTGCTTTCTCCCTCTCCTTCTGCATCCATCTAAAAACAAAATGCTATCAATTTACTCTCTCAAAACATTTCTTAAACTACCCTATTCTCTTGCCCATTATTTTTTTTTGTTGTTGTTAAGACATTAATTTTGTATTATGTGTATGCTTGCATGCCTGGTGCCTACAGGGACCAAAAGAAGGTGTCTAGGAGAGGGTGTTAGATTTCCTGGAACTGGAGTTACAAAAAGTTGAGATAGCCAAAGGGTGTTGGCCTCTGCAAGAGCAGCCATGCTCTAAACTACTAGGCCTTATTGCTAACTCCCCTTGCCTGGACTTCTGCAACAGCACCTGACCTACCCACTCAGAGGCTGATCCTGGTTCTTCTGTGTCCCTCTAAAATGCAGCCAGAATGACTTGATATGTAAATCTGATCATTATACTACCTTTTAAAATATCCTTTCGTAACATGTATAAGGATCTTCTCTCTGGCATACAGTAATACCAGATAAGGCTCACATTGACAACTGTTTCACTAGTCAATCAGAACTTTTTATTTTTCACTATCAGTTTTTATTTTTGTTTATGATCTATGCTGTACCATGCCATTATCTCTGCACATTTCCTCATCTTCCCTTTTTCTGCTTGATTCTTGTTTTCCTTTTAATACTTACCTTAGACAATAACTTCCATACAAAATCTTCACTAAGTCACCCAAATGAAATAAATACTTCTCCTTAATCATTGCACAGAATTATCTTTATCATTGCATTAGCAAACTATATATTTTGCCCTTTACTAAATTATGAATTTATTGAAGGCCCTTAATCTGGCACTGTTTGGTATAGAATTTAACTGAATGATCATCAGATAGGCTCCAATTTTTCCACAGTTGTTAATAATGCTGCAATAAACAGCTTTGTGAAAATAATATTTTAAATTTTACTATGATAGACTCAATGAGGAAAATACTACTAGATATAAATATAAGGACATTTTTCTGATTTTCAATGATAAGTTCATTGTTTTTAATATTTGAGAAACCAAGAGGCAATTACACAAGGATTTTTTTTCAACATATATGCATACTTGGAATTTTGTCATATCAGTTTTTCAGTTCATGCCAATATTTCATTCTTTTAAGCATGAGTCAAACAATTAACCTGTAGCCCAATCTTAATAACAGTATTTCTAGGCTACAAAGGAAATGGATAGTGAAACTTGTTTAAATATTTAGAATATATGAAATGCCACTGATACATCAAGTTTCCTCTAACTAGTGAAAGAAAAAAGTTTACCAGAGCTTTTGGAAATGGCCAGAAAGAAATTCACAGCATTAAAAGAATGTGACCATTTTCATGAAATAACCTCTGTGAAAGAAAAGAACCTCAAGCTAGGTTGTCAGTGTCGAAGGGTGACTTGCATAGAAAACTAAATCAAGGGTGAGCAAGCTACACAACCATGAGCTAAAATTCAGTCCATCTACTTTTACAAATAAATTTTTATTAAAACACATCCATGCTTAATCATTTACATACTGTCTTGTGGTTGCTCTCATCCCACAAAGGTAGAATTAAGTAGATGCAACAAAGACAAGAAGTCTACCAGTCTGAAATATTTTCTATTTGGCTCTTTACAGAAACAGACTGGCAACCCTGGATGTAAAATATTAGGCAAATAAAAAGAACTTTCTACAATTGTAAAAAGCACAACGAAAAAAAATTTCACATGAAAGTTATTATTTATGGTAGTTTTTTTCTTATTTCCTTGATGTTCTAATTAACCGTTTCCATCCAAACCCACTCCTGTCCTCATTCTGCCCTCATTACAGGTTCATAGCTCTCTTCTTTGGCACACTGTCAGGAGGAATAGGAGAAGAGGGAGAGGAGTAAGGAAAGGGAGAAGGGGAGAAAGAGGAAGAGAAGGAACTAGAAATAATGAAACATTAGGAAAATTAGTTTAAAACCAGGATACACAAATGTACATACTTGGGGTGAAGGAAAGGACTAATAATTGAGAGTATAATACAGAATGTATGGAAATATGATTAAAATATCCTCATAAATGTTTTAGGAAATAAGGAGAGAAAGAACACCAAAACAGCAAGTAAAAGGAAAATAAAATTATTTTTAAAATACAGATAGTTAGCACATTTAAAAAGCACAGTATCTGTTAGCATTACTCCTTTTAAAAACCCCACTTATTTACCTATCCAAACAGGCAAAGAGTCCAGATTTTCCTCCTACTGCACACAATACTTTGGGAGCACAGCGGGGTCGCGTCATCAAGACTGTCTGATGAGAGAGTCTGTGTTCAGGCATGAAATGGTATTTTAGCGCTTCATTCAAGAGATGTTTACAAGTACGATCATCACGGATAAGATGATTTGCTTCATAGAGCCTAGTGAGGAACTTAACACTCAGCAATGGTAGTCGCACACTGTTGAGCAGCTGTGCCAAGTATTTCTGGCGTTCTTGTACATCATACTTGATCCAAGACTCTAAGGCATAAAAAACTGTCTCTTCAGTAGCTACATTCAAGCAGTCATTGGAGACAATTTCATCCAAATCACCATGCGTAAGCTCAAAAAACTCTTCCGTCTGGCAAACAGATTCAAAATTCTGGCATATGTATTTAGTAGCCGCCAAATAAAGGTCATGACAACCATACGTCTCTGCAAAACGGGAAATTCCAATACAGTTACCAGGGTCAAGTTGGCTCTCAAGAAACGCACAACATTCTTTCAGGACAAGTTTTATCTGGAGTAGGTTTGCTGCTGGCAGGAGAGATTCAACCGTATCCTGAGAAATGAAAACTGTCCCGGTGTAGGCATACTCCACAATGGCCTGCAGTGCAGCTTCATCAATGCACTGAAACTCAACCTCACTGTTCTCTTTCTCAGAAAGGTTTCCAGTGAACATAGCTTTAAAGTATGGGCTGATGCTGGCAAGTACCACTTTGTGAGCATGAATTTTAACATCACCTACTCGAAGAACGATGTCACAGAGTTCGTGATGCTGACGAAGGAGATTCAAGCCCTGCAGAAGTTGTTCTGAATGTAAGTGAGTTAAGTTAGCAAGCATGTAGGTCGGGGATGTGTGGTCCATCTACACAAAATAAAAGACACACATAGTTATTTCAAAATGGCCATGCCAGTGTGAATCTGTGTCCCAAGAGCCCAAGTCAAACTTGTTTATTCTCCCTTTGCTGGGTTTAAACAGTGAACACTAAAACAGGAGGCTTGTAGAGATAGAAGGAATTTAGTTATCATTTAATGCAATTCCTTAGTTATAGGCAGTAGAGAACTAAAAGCTATAAGGACTTTCAGATGCAAACTAAATGTTTCATTGACTATTTTCATTAAAGACTCAGCTATCACTACAATAAAATACAAATGTATGGAGAAAAAGTTGCTTACAGCCAAATTAGTTTTGAAACACTAGCTATTTGCTGTTTTCTCAATAATAACATCAATAATACCATTTGACAGAAACTTTGCAAAGCATAAAGTTCCATATAAGGATTTAGAGCACATATAGTTCTCCTTTATTAAACTGCATCTTCCTATGACCTCCATGCTCACTAATTTATATTCTTTCCCACAATAGCCTTTCATTCCAATAAAGCTCATGTGTTACAGCTCTCTATATAATGTACTATCTCCCAAATGTTTTCATAGTTAGTGCAAACTACTGTTTATATCTTCCCTTTTTCATGCTCCTTTCCTCAAAGCAAACTTTCAAAAGCCTAGGTTAATATCAAATTTCTCTAAAAGTCTATTTCTTTACAAGCAATTGACTTAATTATATATGTGCAGACTTGTAAACTCCCCCCTCCCATTTGTCTGATTTAACAAGGAGAACTGTATTCAGCCTGGGCAGTGGAGAGTGAACAATGAACAATGCCAATGAGAACTAGAAAGGTAGAAAAGGAAGAGCTAGACACTTTATAAGAACATATTTCTCTCAGACTAAACAATTACATTCCAAGATAGTTACAAAGACCTACAAATAAGATTCTGAACTAAGACCAGATACAAGATTGGGCACTAATCTTAAAAGCAAGACTAAATTTTATAAACAGTCTGGGAAGACTCATCTTAACTCCAGGCAACTCTCTAAAATTAGCAATGATATGATTTATGATTACCTTAAATGGATTAAGTCTAGTCTAAATAAGCTAGCAATGATAAGACACATTAGAAACATTGTTTCATTCTTACCAAGAGCTTAGAGTTTTCTGTTTTGTGGGTTTTTTTTTTTTTTTTTTTTTTTTTTTTTTTTTGGGTTTGGTTTAGTTTGTTTGTTTAGAGACTCAAAGAATTCTATAATGCCTCTCATGGTTTTTGAAAAAAAAAAAATCCAATTTTTTATAACTTAGTCCAGGCAAGTAAATAGTCCTAAAAGAACAGGGAGGAATGTAGTGGTGTACTATAGAATCATGACCATACTCTGGCTCTGTCCTTTCCCTTTATACAGTGATCATGAAGTGACCATGAAGGGCAGCAAAAACAAGGACAACAAATTAAGGACCCTACAAGACCTGAGATTTAACATAATTTTCATTGGGATAAAATATAAGCATTCCAAAACACAAGCATAAAGGAGAGAAATAACTAATGTGAGGGATGTTTTAACAGTTTAGGGATTGTTGTTTCAGTACCACTTTAAAACCCTAATCTGATGTGGGTTTAAGCTTTATTAATAGAACTATAATGCACAGAATATCAGAAAGGAGACTTTCACTTTGTTCTGGAAATGGCAGTTCACATCAAGTGCACAGACTTTAGGTATTATCCTAAAGGGAATTGAAACAAACCATAAGACTCCCTGAAGAGAAGAATTCAGATCATGTTGAAGGAGTAATAGAACTAAGTGTACTGAGTCTAGAGAAAAAGAAAACTGAGGGTTATGTGGCAAGCCAAGGGATAAAAGCTGCTCAATTATAGTAAGGGTTGATTTGAGGATTAGATGAATTTATACATATGAAATGCTTACAACAGTGTTGATCAGTAAAGTCTTGTCATTAACTTTGTATTCTTTTTAAGATGTTAACTGAGTGGTATTTAGCTCTCTATGTTGTACCACCTCTTACTATCAGATAAGAAATTCAGTCTATAGTGGAGCTCATTCTATATGGAGAGATACCTTGCTCAGCCTAGACACAGGAGTGTGGGATGTGGAGAGGTGCCTTGGCCCTGCCTCCATGAGTTGATGGGACAGACTTAGTAGACTTACCATCTCTGAGGAGCATATGAGAGGTGGGGGGGGGGAATAGTGGGGGGAGCAAGAGGAGAGAGGGGGAACTGAGATTGGAATGTAAAAATAAATTAAGAGAAAAAAGAAATTCAGTTAGGGTCTGTGGTACATGTGGTATAAAAGTATAACACAATATAACTTATAAATAATACATGTACACATACAATACATAAGCACACACATGTGACACATATTACACAGATCTAGATGAGCACAGATCTAGGTGTAGCTCTAGAATGAGACTGCTCATATTGTCTAAACTGTTTAATAGCTCTATGGCCCTGTGAAGGTCATCTGAAAGTCTCGGTTTTCTCTCATGCACAGCACAGCAAAACAGTATTGAAAAGGGAGAAATGTCTTTCTGTTGCTTCCATGTAAGAACCCAATAATGACTAGGTGTTACTTGTTATCAGTATCAATATTAGTCTTAAGAAGACTTGAATTTTCCCACTTTCAAAATGACTCTCTTCTGTGTTTCCCAAAAAAGGAACAAATACAACTAAGGCAAGGCCAATGCCTGACTATTCTGTTAGTAAATATACAGTTAGCCACATTATGATTTGGACTATGTATTAGATTTAGACAATTTACTTCTTAGACAACAGAAAAAAAAAAAAGGTGGGGGGCTCTATAGTAAATAGCCTAGATCCTCAACCCACACATAGAAAACGACAGTGCCAGACAAAAGAGGCTGGCTGCCTGACTTTCTACTAATTCTTAAGGATCCAAGCTTACACTCTGTGAAGCTAAAGTTTTAAGTTCTGTGCGTCTATTCCAAAAAGGTGTGGGGTAACCCCTCACCCCTGAACATCATCATTGGAACATGGGAGAAATTATCTCATGATACACTTACAGGATAGATGGGAAGGTTAGTGAGAGATGCCCTATCCAGCTCCTAAGAGCCCTCTTATTCTCCAGTGTTCCTGAAGAACCACAAGGGACACTAAAACTCTGATATGCTTCCACCTTGCTGTATGGGTTGGTGGAGGTCAATAAGGTGCTATCGCACACCTGCCTCCACACACTTACACTCCTCATCTCATCTTTACCAAGGTATGAACTATTCATTTCAAGGGTCAGTTATTACCCACCAGACTAATAACCAAAACTAGCAAAAGTTAAAAATAGATGAAGAAAGGTCCCTGGTAAAATTTGTACATGCTCTTTCCACCATATTGGCCAGCAGGTAAAAACGCTTTGAGTTGATCCCCAGAACTGAATGAAAAAAGAAAACTGACTCTTAAAAGTTGTTCTCTGACCTCTACACATGTGAATGACACACCTGTTCTCTTTCTCATATACAAACAATAAATTAAATTTAAAAAATTTTTAAATTAAAAATAATTATTGAGATTAAATAGACATAAATCTTATTTTAATGCTCAACTAAAATAATTATAAATAAAACTTTAAAAGGGGAATGTAAAAAATAGAAACTTAAAATTAATGACACCAGTTTTACTATATTCCATTATTAAAAAATTTAATTTGACCTTTTTCCTTTCTCAAGAAATATGTCTTAAATTTTTACAGAAGTTATTCAAATATAGGGCTTAAAACACGGTCTTTGTACCAAAAGTATCAGTTATCATTTAGGGATCTGTTAGAAGTGAATATTCCTGTACCCCATCACAGACAGAGTGAGGAACAGGGGTGAGGGGAGGCCAGATAGACTGCTTTCTCCTGGTAATTCCCAGGCTTGTACACATTGAGAATCAGGTCAACTATTTCCAGTCTAAATACTGTAAATTTTAATTGTAACTTATTCAACACTCACAACCTATATTATATTTGGTTCTCAGTTATTTATTCATAAATGTCTGAAAGTAACTCAAAGAAAAAATAATTTCAGATCTTGAAACCCCATGCTATCAAATAATTTTACTATGTTTCATTTATCTCAATAGCAACCTTGTGGAGAAGGAAGGGCAGGTACCTACCACTGAAAACAGGAAAGAACAGTGAACAGAATATGAACTCTAGTCCACATTTGGCTACCTAACAGCTCTATGACCTTGGGCATATGTTAATTTAACATATAAATACATAAAATATGTGATATCAGAGCTGAGACTGGTGGTTCACGAATGCAATCCAAGCACCAAGCGGAGGGAGGAGAATTTACGACGAGTTCCAGACCAGCATGAGATGCAAGGTGAGATCTTGTCTCAAGCAAACAAATCTAAAAAAGTAAGCCTACAAAGAACAAATGATAAACAAACACATTTGTTTTGATTTTTGTTAAAAAAAAAAAAAAACCGTAAAGTTCTATATATCTACGATCTAAATTCATCAATACAGAACAAACAGAAGCAATGTCAAAGCTTCAACAAAGCAACAGCATTGTAGGTCATTTCCAATGATATTCATGTTGTGCTAATATCGATAATATGTTAAAAGAAGACTTCATAATTTTAGTTTCTAATAATAAAGATAATAAAGGCCAGGCTGCAAGCTTAGCACCAACAACTTAATTGACATCTAAGCTATAAAGAAGTGGTGGGGAAATCAGCTGGGAGGCAATTAGCTGCCACCATATAAATATAGATCACAAGTGAATAGAGAAGAAATTAGAGTGGCAATGTTGCAATTTCTCTGAAAACTATTTTCATTATATCTAGAGAAACAGAAGTAAAGTTAGCTGCTGCCTGTCACTAACATAAATCCTTGTGTTTTGGGCTTGGAAACATGTAGCACAAATACATAGAGGGAGACCCTGTCTCCAAACAACAACAAAAGCTTACAATTTCTTAACCTTGTTAAAGCTCTGACATAAATAACTAACAAGATTCAGAACAGAAACAGGAAAAGGAGATTACCAACATGTAATCAAATAATACATAAAAATATAAAGATTAATTATAGAAAAAAAATCAAATTTTATCCTACAGTTTTAGCACCCTTTTCCCTTTTCACCAAACTTCTAAAAGCTCTCAGCAATAGCAAAACTAATTTGAGTTTTACTTTGTTCTGGTCCTTAAACTATATCTAATACAAATGAAGAATATAGAATCTGTTATGAAGATTAGATAATATTTATTAAGTAGTTGCACAGTATTTGGCACAAAGCACACAATAAATGGATTAAAATTATTGGTTCTGTTGTACTTAGTAGTAACAACTTCTTAAATTGTACACATTTTTATAGTTTACAGAATTTTCATTTCTAGTATTTTAGGGATGCCTATAAAATTTGGGTAAGAACACACAAAGACATAAAGTGATTTGTTGTGGAATAGAATATTTGTTTAATTATGTAAAGATGTGTTGCATTTGTTTTACCTTGCCTGCCTAAGGCACCTGACTAGTCTAATAAAAAAGCTGAATGGCCAATAGCTAGGCAGTAGAGGGATAGGCGGGGCTTGAGGACAGAGAGAAATAAGTAGGAGGAGGAATGTAGGCTGGAGAGAGAATGAGGGAGAAAGAGAGGGAGACACCCAGGGCCAGCCAGCCAAGCAGCCGCGGCTAGACAGACAGATACAGGATGAAAGAAAGGCAAAAACAAAACCCCTAAGCAAAATATAGATGGGAAAAAAAAAACCACCTAGGTTAAATTTAGTTATAAGAGCTAGTGGGATGAGCATAAGATAAGACCGAGCATTCATAAACAATAATAATAATAATGATGATGATGATGATGTGTCCGTATCTTGATTTGGGGGTTGGTGGACCAAGAAAGCCTGCTACAGTGATTCATCCAACAAATCCATTATCTCTGACTCTAGAAATAAAACTTTATCTAGAGCAGCCATATCACCCTTCTTAAGCAAAGCAGAAAGAATAAAGGTAGGTAACACATACCTTTCTGCAATCTGCTACTTTGGTTTAAATTATTTTGAAAGCATTGAAATTTTGCTTTAAATTTGCAATTTTCAGCATAGCCCTAACTACTTTCTTTCAATTTTCTGAGGCTTACTTTTATAATACAACAAAAACTGTATTCATATTGTATAATCTTGTTAAAATACTGTCCTTCAGTACTTGCCTTTACTCCCAGAACTCAGGAGGCAGAGGCAGGTCAATCTTTGAGTTTAAGGCCAGCTTGATCTACAAAATGGGTTCCTAAATAAGCAAGGCTATACAGAGAAAATCATGTCTTGAAAATCCAAAGGGAAAGAAAAAAACCAAGTTCTTTATCTAACTCTATTATTACATATGAATGCTTTTCTAGTAAATACAGAAAGGACTCCTAAACACTTAAGTACTTTTAATAGATATAAATAAAATATATTAAACAAATAAGATTTATGTTCTATAAGATCATCATAAAAGTTATTAAGATATGTGACAGTGACATCTTATTTCCTAAATATCCACAATCAAACTAAAGTATTTTCCAAATCTTCAAGGAGTAATGTAATAGATATAAATAAGTTACAATTTGTAGCACACACTGAGCTACAGGGACCTAAGAGAAAGAAGGACTCATCTTGCTTTGCTCTTTTCGAAGGAAAAGGACAGGGCAACTGCTTGATTTATGAATCCAGGTCCCTTGAATAGTGTTCTTTACAGAGGGAAAGGACCATTTTTAAATTTCTGCCATAACTAATAATGAAATATCACTCAAGACTTTCTACGTTCCTTTTCTTTGATACTGATTTCTACACAACCTTAGTCTGGTTAGTAACTTGGCTTCCTAAGTTCTTTGATACATGAAGAGTATGCTGGAGTTTTCAATCTGATAATTCTGATCACCAGAAAGAACAACCTTCTGTGCCAACATAAACTGGCATTCTAATGTGTACATTCTAATGCATACATCACTCTCCTGTTTCCTTTCACATGGTTGGGTTCCTGAAGTCTGAGTACATATGAATACAAGTATATATTTAAGCTTTTTAGGTTGGAAATAGGAATCTGGAAAGCCCCCCCCTACCCTTGGCCACCCTCCAGCCTGTGCTTTTTTTCAATAGTACCCTGAATGTAATCCAGAATGTTGCATATGCTAGGAATCGCTCTACCAAGACCCAGCTACTTGGCAGTCAATCTTTCTCACTGACAGCTGTTACAACCATGCCTTGGTTTTCAGTCCTGTCCTTATTCTGCCTCTAAAAATAGAAAAGGGGTGGGGACAGCAGTGTTCTACCAAACTTAGGTAGATCCACTTACACATCAAGACGATCAATAAAAGCCATGTACATAGCTCAGTGGCACAGCATTTCCCTAGCATAAGTAAAGTTCTGGGTTCACTGTCCAGCACAGTGAAACAAGACAAAACAGCAGCAAACCACAAACCAAAAGCGAATGAGAAAACCACCCAGACTTTCAACAAAGCATAGGCAACATGGTCTTAGAATGTTACTCCTTTTCAAAACAAAACCAACAAAAAAAAAAAACCCCAAAAAACAAACAAACAAAACAAAGAAAGAAAAATCTATGATATTTAAATTGTGCTGTAATAAAAATTAATAGATAAAATTTCAACTTGCACCACCAGGACTATCAGTTATTGTCATAAATAAAGCACATGTGACTCAATTATTCCAAGATTTCAAAAAGTAATACAGCTGGGTATGGTGGCACAATGCTTTAATCTCAGCACTTGGGAGACAGAAGCAGACAGATCCCTGTGAGTCCAAGGCTGGTCTACAAAGCAAGTTCCAGGATAGACAGCAAATCTACAGAGAAACCCTGCCTTGAAACAAACAGACAAATAATAAAAAACAAACAGACCAAAAAAAAAAAAAAATAAGAGAGAGCTCAAGGCCAGCTTGGAATACACATAGCAATTACATTTTTCAAATACAGAAGCAAAAGTTGCTCTTTCATACCCAAAGCATTTGACCTTACAAGAGATACTTTTACTTATAGTTTCATTTGCAAAGAGAAAACACCCATCAGTTATCAAATTCTCAGTTCGTTTAAAATAATGTCTATCAACCTTAAATCCTCTGGGCAGAATTCTCTTAGGACTGTGATGCCAAGAACTAGCAGCACAACTGAAATTGTCTAGCGATCTCCGTCTCCAGGAGACCGAGAGACTGCAGAGACGCTCGAGGATCCTACTGGGAGATTGGAGAAGTGCAGGTGGGGCGAAAGGGGTGAGTCCCATGGAGGAGCTACCTTAAGCACTTCGTCTAATGCAAGGCGGGTAAATAGGCGAGAGTGCAGATTCTGCACATCCTTAAGAAAATTTAGTGATGCGGACAATGAAAAGTGACAGAAACCTTTTACACTCCACAGCCAGCAGGCGGAGAGGGAAAGGAAGCACAGGAGAGGAAGGCGGGACAAGGAAGATTCCCAAAGACTTGGAATAATTTTCTTTTTTTTTAAATTTTATTTTATATGTCGATCCCAGTTCCCTCTCCCTCCCTCCGGAATAATTTTTTTTTTTAAAGAAAGAAAAAAGAGGTACTCAGTCCATAAGAGTGACCTTGGTTGGGTTCTCCTGTATTGATGAGCAGTCTGCTTGAAAGAATCTCACTCAGGATGGCAGAGTAAGTAGACCGTTTACAATGGTAAAAGAACATGTCGCCTCTGTGCCTGCTCCGGTACAGACCTTTACCTCTTTGGCTCATGTGGCACACGGGCAACACTCGGCCAAAACCTACACCCCTGGAAAATAGCAAAACGGGAAATACCTGAGTCCCAGGAATTACACCTGCAACGACAGAAGGAGGAGCCACGGAAAACGAACCTGGACAAGATCCGCAGTTGCGCTGGTCAAACCTCAACTCTTACGGGTGGGGCGGGAAACTTCCGCCCCGTGCAGGGAAGCGTCATTTCCGTTTAAGGTCTTGACCCCGTCTCACCAGTCTGGCTACATTCCAACATTCCGACTTCCTCTTCCAGGAGTCTTCTGCCTGGGCTAAACTCCCTGCGTGGACTACAGGACCCAGCATGCACCTCGAGATGTTGATTTCCGGGTCAAGAGGCCCGAGCTGGGTGCATCACCATGGAAGCGCTCGGTTTGGTCACGTGGTGGCCCTGGTTACGCCGGGTGGCGGCTGTGGGGTCCCGGGCTCGGGCGGGGGCCATTTTGGCGGAGGCTGGCTGCGGGAGTCGAAGGCCGGAGAGGCCTGGCAGCTGACGGGAGCCGTCCCTTTCCATCCTCTGCAGCTGGGGCCTCGGAGAGGAGCTGGAAGGCTGGGCGCCATCCAGCCCTCCCAAGACGGCAATGGTTCCCTCCAGCCATCGCTACCTGACGACCCTCCATGGCGGCCGCGCCTTCCGAGCTGCTCCTGCTGCCTCCCCTTGCAACCCTTGGTTCCTATCGCCTCCCGAGCCGCGGTCGTCCTTCCGCCCCAGGGACTGATGGTCGTCGAGCTGGGGGCACCATGAGAGGCGAGAAAAACTACTACTGCCGTGGGGCTGCGGGGGATCACGGATCCTGCCCCTCGACGCCGTCGCCTCTGACTTCGACCCTCCTTTTGCCGGCGGAGGCCGTGTCCAGTAGCTGGTCGGGGCCTGGGAGCGGGCTGTCGGGCGGAGATGAGGAGGAGACTCGGCTCCTTCAACTCCTGCGCACCGCACCGGATCCTTCCGAGGCGTTCCAGGCCTTGCAGGCTGCCTTGCCGCGGCGGGGCGGCCGGCTTGGCTTTCCCCGCCGCAAGGAAGCCTTGTATCGGGCGCTGGGCCGAGTGCTTGTGGAAGGCGGTAGTGATGAGAAGAGACTCTGCTTGCAGCTACTCTCGGACGTTCTTCGGGGTCAGGGGGAGGCAGGTCAGCTGGAAGAGGCCTTTAGTTTAGCGCTTTTGCCCCAACTAGTTGTCTCCTTACGAGAAGACAATCCAGCCCTACGGAAAGATGCGCTGCAGATCCTGCATATTTGTCTGAGGCGTAGTTCTGGCCAGGTACTGAGAACGCTGATACAAGGCCTGGAAAGTCCAGATGCCCGGCTTAGAGCTTCCACCGCGCTGTTGCTCCCTATCTTGCTTACTCCTGAGGACTTGTTGCTGGGCTTGGATCTCACTGAAATAATAATATCTCTGGCCCGAAAGCTTGGCGATCAAGAGATGGAAGAAGAATCTGAGACTGCATTCTCTACGCTTCAACAAATTGGAGAACGACTTGGTCAAGAGAGGTTTCAGTCCTACATCTCTCGCCTGCCCTCTGCTCTGAGGAGGCACTACAATCGCCGCCTCGAGTCCCAGTTTGGAAGTCAGGTTCCTTATTATTTGGAGCTAGAGACCTCTGGGTTTTCTGAAGATCCTGCCCCTTGTGTAATGACTCTTTGCAATAGCAATCTTAAATTCGGGATTATTCCTCAGGAGCTGCATGCAAGATTGTTAGATCAGGAAGACTATAAGAACAGGACTCAGGCTGTTGAAGAACTAAAACAGTTGCTGGGGAAATTTAACCCAAGTTCTACCCCTCATTCTAGTCTTGTTGGTTTCATTAGCTTATTGTATAATTTGTTAGACGATTCCAATTTCAAAGTGGTTCATGGCACACTTCAAGTTCTGCATTTACTGGTCATTCGCCTGGGAGAGCAGGTGCAACAGTTTTTGGGACCAGTTATAGCGGCTTCTGTGAAAGTGCTAGCAGACAACAAGTTGGTGATCAAGCAGGAATACATGAAAATCTTTCTAAAGCTAATGAAAGAAGTAGGTCCTCAGCAGGTGCTTTGTTTGCTCCTGGAAAATCTCAAACATAAGCATTCCAGAGTAAGAGAGGAAGTAGTGAACATTTGCATCTGTTCCCTCCTGACCTATCCCAGTGAGGATTTTGACTTACCCAAACTGTCTTTTGATCTTGCTCCAGCTCTTGTAGATAGCAAACGCAGGGTACGCCAGGCAGCTCTAGAAGCCTTTGCTGTCTTGGCATCATCAATGGGCTCAGGTAAAACCAATGTCCTTTTTAAAGCTGTAGATACTGTTGAATTGCAAGATAACGGAGATGGAGTGATGAACGCCGTGCAGGCCAGATTGGCCAGAAAAACTCTACCACGGCTAACAGAGCAGGGATTTGTGGAGTATGCAATACTCATGCCATCTTCTGCCCAAGGTAGGTCAAGCCATTTGGCACATGGAGCAGATACAGACTGGCTTATGTCTGGTAACAGAACTCAGAGTGCACACTGTTACTGTGGTGACCACACGAGGGACAGCATGCAATTGTATGGATCCTACAGTCCAACGATCTGTACCCGAAGGGTGTTAAGTGCTGGAAAGGGAAAAAACAAATTACCATGGGAAAATGAGCAGCCTGAAGTCACAGGAGAAAATCAGACCTCTAACTCCAAGGACACTAAAGATACCGAGCAGGTATGCTTAATTTTCTTGAGTTGAAATTGAAAACTTTACATTGAAAATTTTTAAATTAAGTACTGATATGGACATCCATTGTAGTGGTAAAGGTTATGTAAGTCTTGATTAAATTTGAGGATCGATGTGATGTGGACAATAAGTGGGTTTCAAGTATGGCTTATTGTTTTCATCATGTCACTCTTATCATACAACAAACATCAAATACCTAGTAGGTACCAGATAAAGAATTATTTCCATGTGGTTTCTGGAGGAAGTTACAAATGGGCAATTAACATGTATTAAATGCTAGAATAGAAATACAGAGTACAGTGTAAAACCAAAGGTAGGAAAAAGCAAAAAAGCCTTTAGGGTTCTGATCTTTGAACTCAGATTCCTGTCCCCCAAAAGCTTTTATTTTAAAATGTATAAATCTACATGTAGATTCAGAGTATAGTGAATACTCATGTACTTCATCTGTATTTGTGTGTTAACATCTTGCAATATTTGCTCCATATTTTATGAACCATTTGATAGTAAATAGGCATATTTTGGATTTCACTCCTTAATATTTTGACATATGTCTTCTAAAGTAAGTTATTTTCTATTACTGTGCTTTACAATACTAACAGTAATTAAATAGTATATAACTTTTATTTAAATTTCTCCATTTGTTCCCAAACAGTGTGTTTTTTATTTTTTATTTTACTTTTATCATCCAAGATCCAGTTATGGTTGTTGTGGCTGTTGTCTTTTTATCTAACATTATATTCCTACATTTTGGTGGGTTTTGTAGTAATTGTTTTGTACAGTATCTCACAATTGTGAGTTTATCTGATTGCTTCAGTATGATTGTAGTGAAGATAAAACTTCGTAGCAAATACATTACCTAAGTAATGGATACAGCGCAGAGGGGTTATCCCACCTTGAGTAACATTTCCTTTTATCTTTTGATTTAAACTGACAACAAGATCCATTATAAAGGTATGTTTTCCCCTTTACTATAGATGTTATATTAAGACCTTACAAACACCTCAACAACATTTTACTCATTGTTTTTTACATCCACTGAGTATTTTTACTTGTATTAGTTATTAGATTGGGGGCTATAAAGAATGTAATTAAAGATAAAACCACTTCTTCTACATTTGTTACCTAAAATTCTATGTGTAATTATTATATCTATCTTTAATTTTTGCTCCTTAAAATCAAGTTTGTTCTTTTTTTGTTCTTTTTGTTGTTGTTGTTTTTTGTTTTTGTTTTTTTCAAGACGGGGTTTCTCTGTATTGCTTTGGAGCCTGTCCTGGAACTAGCTCTGTAGACCAGGCTTGCCTCCAACTCACAGAGATCTGCCTGTCTCAGCCTTCCGAGTGCTGGTATTAAAGGTGTGCGCCACCAAGGCCTGCTCCTGTCTGTTCTTTTTTTAAGATTAATTTCTATTTATGTGTCTCTATGGGTATGCCTGTGTGTGTGTGTGTGTGTGTGTGTGTGTGTGTGTGTGTATACTAACCTGTGGAAACTCTATGGGTATGCCTGTGTGTGTGTGTGTGTGTGTGTGTACTAACCTGTGGAAGCCAGAAGAGGATGTTAGATTTGGTGGAGCTAGAGGAATTACACGAGTCTTCAACTTGGCCCAATGTAGGTACTGGGGACCAAACTCTGTCCTCTGTAAGAGCAGCAAGAGCCCTGAAATGCTGAGCCTTTTTTCCATACCCAATATTTTAAGATTATTTATAATTCAAATTTTTATTGAAAATAGAATTTTTCATGCAGTATATTTTGAACATGGTTTCTCCTCTCCCAACTCCTCCCAGATCCTCCCCAACTCCCCACCCACCCACATTTGCAATCTTTCTCAAATTAGGAAATAAACAGGCAACTAAAAAATAAACAACAATCCAGAATAGGACAAAATAAACAGGGGGGAAAAAGAACCAATGGAAAAGCACAAGAAACACTCAAACATAGAAATTTCATAAAAACACAAAATCAGAAACATAATTTGTAAACAAAAGATCTGCAAGGCTTAAAAAAATGCCCAGACATAGCATGGGACAAAATGTCTCCCAAAATACCATTTAGTTCATTTAGTGTTGGTCATCAAATTTAGTTTTTTGGTGCTAAATTACCAGTGTTTGACCAATGCCTGGCTCCTGTCATCTTTTTGAGTAGGATCATCTTGGCTTCTGCTTGTCTTTTTTTTTTTTTTTAATTTAAATTAGAAACAAGCTTGTTTTACAGGTCAATCCCAGTTCCCTTTCCCTCCCTTCCTCCCCTGCCCCCCATCAATCCCCCATCCCATCCCCTTTCTGCTCCCCAGGGAGAGTATGGTCTTCCATGGGGGGATCTTCAAAGTCTGTCACATCATTTGGAGCAGGGCCTAGGTCCTCCCCATGTGTCTAGGCTGAGAGAGTATCCCTCTATGTGGAACAGGCTCCCAAAGTCCATTTGTATAGTAGGGATAAATACTGATCCACTATAACAACAGGAATCAGAGAATAAGTGCATTTCCAAAATGCCAGTTTGGACTAATTTATAATGAAAGCTTCTTTGGTGAAACTGAAATTTACCATAGAGATCAAGTTGTAAATATGTACTCAGAGAAATGCTCGTAGAAATACACTT